ACATGCCGCACTCGGTATGAGTTACTTGGCTCAGCACAAGTTTGTCCACAGAGATCTTGCGGCCAGAAATTGCATGTAAGTGTATCCTCTCTTCTATATCATCCGGGGCTTTTACACATGTCTTTATATGTGTGTTTGAGTAAAAGCAAAATGAATGTTACGAGAAATCGGTCAGCTGTTTCATCGAAAATAATTTTAATGCACCAGAGATACCAAGGGACATGCATTCATTGAATTAACTCCAGAGTTCGAATTAATGGTATTGCAATTCTTAAATGATGTGACCCCAAAGTAAGATCAACGTTTAACAACCTCTTTAGGGTGAACAGTGATCTTCTGGTGAAGATAGCGGATTTTGGACTGTCCCGTGACATGCACGAATCGGATTACTACACAAGCGGCGATGCCCAGGCTAAGCTGCCTATCAAATGGATGGCTCCCGAGTCCATGGAACGTCGAGTGTACAACGCCAGGACTGACGTGGTACGCAATTAAATCCATCTTTGATTGGAATGTTAGATGATGTTTAGATAAAGATCTTAACGGAAAAGAAAGCAAAACACATCTCTTTGCGTTCTGTGGAACTATCCTTCGAAGAGAAACTACATGAACTTCGATGTCCAGTCATGAAACGTCAGTTTATTGATAATTTACATTGGGTATGTTTTCAAGGCGCCTGACCCTCATTAGCTGGAGTATTTCGTCTTAAGACGCCCACCTCGAACTGATTTCTAAGTTAACTTAGTAATGAACGTTTTTATTTCAATTTGACACAAGATCTCATTAAACAGTTCAATAAAGACTCAAATACAATGTAGTTTGGTCAATCTTCGTTAATCTTTGCTACCCTTTCCAGCTTGCTCATGTCAAGTGTTCGGTAGCTCAATTGAACAGGCATCATTAGAATGGTCTCTAACATTGACAGATATTTGTCTTCTTTGGTTTTCTACAGTGGTCATATGGTGTGCTCCTGTGGGAGATTTTCAGTAAGGGTGCCAAACCGTATCCAGGAATACCCAACCAAGATGTGTATGATTTCTTGAAGAGTGGTCAACGCATGGATGCTCCCAAGAACTGCCCGCCAGAAATGTATGTTCAAACAGCGCTCACCTTTACCTTTAATAATACATGTAACAAATTTAATGTCGTTTTAGCTGCTGTAAAAGTATGCGTGATTCTTATATATTTTACTCAATTCTTTCTAAAGGTGATGGGATCTTAATGCATCTATTTTACTCTCAGGGGTTTTACACAATTGAAAGTAGGTATAACACTCTCTAGTTGGTTGTGAGAAACAGTGAAGAGTGTTTTGTTCGGGGATTCAAATAAGAAAGGGAAACTCAATTCTCAAACATTTTTGTCAAAAATGTAGGGTTAATGTGCTCGAGTAATTAGTAATAACGGAAAGTGTATTGTCGTGGGTTTCAAGTAAAAATGCAAACACAATTTGATATACGATCAAGCATGCAGCATCTAATGATTCTTGTTACATTTCCTGACTGATACAGCTACGGCATAATGGTACGTTGCTGGCAGGACAACCCCAAATCACGTTGCACCTTCGTCCAAGTTGCCAACGAGCTGGAAGAACTGTTGGAGGGAGACCGCAACTACGTAGCAGCTCCTAGTGCGAGTGTGGTTGGTATGCGACCCATCGAACATCGCGAAGAACCTGGTGTCAAAGACGACAGCTATCTGGTCCCGATGCAGCAGGAGACCGCCTTTGGTGCTGACGGCCCGTGTAGTGACGGAGAAACCAGCGGGAGCCATGCGACCGCCGCACATGATCCCTTGGATTATGTCAATAAAATTGTCATTAGATAAGTGACGTGCAAATTCCCAGATAAGAAGTATCCGAAAAGAAAATGGTTTGAAGAAAAGTCTGTTTCAAGTGGCCAATATATTAAAATCTTAGCTTATCAAGATGGATCTATAGGACACACTCCTTGCTCACTTTCATTCATACGAAACAAGATTTAACCTTTCTAGCTTTTTGTCTCTGTGTGTTGGAATAAAATCATTTCCAATATATAGAAGATGGCAAGCTAGACTAATAGCTAAATCATCTGTCTTTTTAAGCGTCTCAACCAATGCCAAAAGCCGTTTTTGTTTTTCGATTGAAATTGTTGTGGTATTTAGTAATCTGAGGTATTACTGTCGTTCACCATCATTGAATCAAACGTTCATAAATACATATTTTTTTATTGCTGTAGTAATATTCGGATTTCCCGCAAATGAGTGTAAGATCGGGTTTAAAAAAAAATTGTATACATGTTATAATAATACCTGCGTCATTTAATCTAATACATGTACATATAATCTTCCAGTATTGTTTTCATTGACAATGCTTAGCTAGGCAAATTGCAACATTTTAAAACATGATCCTACGTTATCTGCAAGTGATAAGTTGCCGATTGGGAATTTTTGCACAGAGTCGTACACGCTGGACAATACATATTTTTATATAAAAATGGTTGAAGTTATCAGGAAATTAACAACTATATAGGTATCGTTAAAGGAACAAAAAAATAACAGCAATGTAATTTTTTTAACGTATTATACACAGGTTTTCCAGCATTTAATTATTAAGATAAATAGCGTATTACATAATTGATATTTTATATTTTGAATACATGTAAAGGCCTATATTCTTAGCTGACTCAGTATCTGTTCTAACGCAGTCGCGTGTGCACAGGGTTTCTCCTTTAATATGGTAACGACATTGATCGCATGTGTTAAACCGAGGGGTGTACAGTTGAGTCGCATGAAAAATGGAACCCCTTTGGATTGGTATTCAATGGAGATTCGAACATTCTTACCAACTAGTCTGTGGAGACAGATGCCACGTGCACATGTATTGTTCTCAAAAATAAATACGAAATGTAGCTCATTTTATTAAAAAATGATATCTTGTTTACCTAAAATATATACATTTTTGTGTGTTATAGGAGAGTCTTCTGTCGAAGGTGTTACTAGAAATAAGCGTTTTTGTAAAGATGTTTTTATGCAAGGTATAAAAAGCTGCTCAATGGTTGCCTAGTAAATGTAGAAAAATACCCTGACTTAACAGGTAAAAAAAACACACCAGAAACAGTTGGTAAATGCGTGCGAAAATGTATTTTAAAAGTCGTACATTGAGGAGATCGAACAATGATTGTAGTTAGCACCGAGTGCTGTACAAATTCTCATATTCGATATTCAATTATCTTACTGTTTGATCATTTATTCATTTGATACACAGAAACCAATTTAATCACTTTTTATATTCAGATTATCAGAATTGCAAAGTAACTGGTATATTACTAACATATCCAGACTGAATTTCTGTTCAAGTCAAGATTTCCTTTTATTAAATGCTCCCCCTGCATATATTTTATTACATAATTGACATGTTACATTTGCAATACATGTACAGGCCTATATTCTTAACTGACTAAGTATCTGTTCAAACGCAATCGCGTGTGCACAGATTTTCTCCTTAAATAAAAGTAAAGACATTAATCGAGGGATATTCCATTATCAACACAAATGTACCGTTTGACTCGTATGACAAAAATGGAATCCCTTTGGATTGGTATTTAACGGAGATTCGTACATTTACAAGCTGGTTTGTGCAGATGCCACGTGCATAATGCATTTTCCTGCCAAATTAATATGCATTCTACGCAACTTGATATGCAAATAGCTGTATTTACACAAGAAATTTACATCGTGTTTTTTTTATGTGTGAAAGATGAGTCAAATTAACACAGATTTGTTAAAGTAGTTCTTAATAATAAGGTATGAAAAGCCGCTCACATGGTGCCTCGATAATGCAAGCAAACAACATGACTTAATTTTGGGGTTTTTTTTCCAAAAACGAAACATTGGTATATGTCCGCGAAAAAATGAATGTTGTAGAGTTTTGCCATCATGATTATCATGAGAACCAAGCACTGTTATTTTCATATTCGCAATCATTTGGCTTTGTATAATCTTGCTTTTTGGATCATGTACATGTATATTCATTTGATACACAGATACATATTTACATGTATTTACTTCCTTAATCAGATTTCGCTTAAGCAAAATTGCGTAATTAACATTACAATTTCGAATATTGAATTTCCGTTTAAACAGTCAAGACATTGACGCTCTGTGTTTGAAATGCGTAGCAGTCTTTGCTTATTGACAGTATAGGATTTAAACCTTATTCCAACGGGTAATAACATTAATAGATTTTCAGTTGAATAAAAAAAAATCTAACACCCGGCCATTCAATTTCATCCGAGAATAAAATTATCCTTTACATCAGTAGGGTCGGGTCATTAATCAATTAACATCTCCTGGTAGCAAGTAAAAATGATTTTTCAGAGATGTACCAAACGTCGACAAATTAAACTTTATGAGAAATTGTCTTATGTGTAAACGCATTTTTTTTATGCGATACATTTTTAGTAATTTTATACTCTTAGTTGACTACGTATATTCAGAGTATTAACCGTTATTAAAAAAAAAAATGGTATTGAGGAGACAGAAAAAATAATGAATTCTTTGTTCTTTTTTGTTGTTGTAAGGACAACAAATTTAATAAACTTAATTTTAGGAACTTTATGATCAGTTTTTAATGGCAACATTACATTTCCTCTTTTCCTTTACAGGGCGTCTCAAAAAAAGGAAACCCAACTTCAAAGAATGAGTATAGGCAGACTATATTATTACTGGCTACAAAACTGTTATCTGAAAGCGTAATCTCTATGCTTTACCGTGTTTAGGTTTTCTGAGTCATGCATCACTGAGCACCATTGTCTTGAAAACTGGATGCGAAAATGCAGTTGGTTCACTTTCATTAAAAAAATCCCACTCGGCACGGTGTGCCTATTGTTACGGAAATGTCTGTGAAATGGATTGAATGTTAATCCTTGGGAAAATGGCACATTGTTTTGAACATGGCTTGGTCAAAATGAGAAATTCATGACAAGCAATAAAATCCAGTTTTGAAACCAAACGACTTGTTTGGGGGTTTCTTTTTATGCACTCGTGTCATCTTCTTCAATACTTATTCTCATGCTCACCATGCCTATTGTGTTTGACATGAAAGTGAACCAACTGCAATTTTGCATCAAAATCTCATGACAGTGGCGCTCAGTGATGCATGACCCTGGAAATGTAAACAAGGTCTCAATGAAAAGCATAGAGATTACGCTTTCAGATGATACCAGTTTTATAACCAGTAAACATTTATTCTGTCCATACTGGTTCTTCAAAGTTGGGTTTCCTTTTTATTGAAACACCCTGTATAAAGACCATGATACACAAACTGTAGGCCAGCTACAGATGTTATTCGCAAGAATCTTTTGATGCAGCATATGAAGCTGCTGTTGGTCAGGCAATGCCTATTAAGAAAGCTTCAAGTGTCCCATACTCTACTCTACATGACAGCATTAACCCTAACTCCCTAGCATGATTTACTAGGAACTATACCCATCCTGGCAAATTCCAACACCATATGGGAAACTGCACACACATATTTCTCTAGGTGTGCCAACCCAATGTAAAAGACTGTCAGTTTAGGGGCACTGTACCCATCCAGACAAATTCCAACAATACATGCTGTTGGGGTTTGATGGGTTGAGTTCTGTTACGGTTAATGGAAAAACCAAATTGGAAACAACCAGATGTGGTCCCGATCCCCTGTTGAGCCAGGAGGAGGAACAAACACTAGTGACACACATTTGAGCTGATGTCTTCATTTGGCTATGGTTACACCCACACTGAAGTTACAGCACTTGCTACTGACTTGGCCATCATCCTTGGAAAGAGAACGAAGTCCAATAAGCCTCTCTCTCACTGCAGTGGTTCTACACCCTCATGAAACGCTGACCAGAACTCAAGGTGCAGAAACCCAGATCATTTGAGATATTGTAACATGGACGGGAAAAATGTCACACTTTGGACCCCAAATTGCATGACCCAGATGAAAAAGTTCCAGTGATTAGGGACAAGTCCTGAACTGAGATGAGATTGACATATTTTGTCCATGGGCAAGGTACCTGATGCACCCAAAATTCAACATGGTTCCATGGGCCTTCTTGTCAAGTTCCCTGAATGTATTTCATCAAGTGTTAACTGTTGAATGGGATGGCACCAGACTATTTCTGCAGGCACAATGCCGCCTCATTGTACTGTAATTTTTTTTTTTAATCTGGCTTTTAACATTAGGGAATGTTTAATTACAAATTTTAATTTATTCATTGATGCAGTTAGGAATTAATGAGTAATTTAATTGCTTTCATTTCTCTTAGCAAGTTCCACAAAGATTTTTACCTCACTTTCAATTCAATATGGCTGACTCGTGAATAAGGCCCATTTAAGCCGTCAAGTTTTTGTAATTTCCAGACATTTACTGAAAGCATGCAAAAAGATCGAGCATGATGAAAAGACCCAATTTTTGGAGGGAAAAAACACCCCTCACACCAGTCTGGCTATGGGCCTGCTGTGTAGATGGTAACTGTATATCGGTCTGACTGGGTCTGGGCCAATTACGCACAATGAACCATTTATCTAAGTACTCGGCAGTACTCGGTACTCGGAAAAAAAGTACTCGACTACAACACTGATTATTCGCTTCCGGGAAGCAGGACAAAATACATGTATGCTCATTAATATTGAGGAACATGACTTACTAATACATGTTTGTACCGTTATTTCCAGCTTTAGAAGGCACTGTGAATATACAAATGCACTCTGTGAATCAGTCATACTTTAGATGCATCACATTTAAAATAATCCATGCCACAAATGGGGAGACCACAAGAGGTGGACAGTCTGTGGAAACAAGCTGTGCGACATGGGCACAGGAGATTGGCGCAACAGACCAATACCGTCTTTGTGGATGAATTTCTTTGTGTAAGTGACGGAATACATGGTTTTGTCAATATCTTCAGTGCACCTGGGTTTTTTTTTTTTTTTTCATGTCGGCATTAAGCAAAAGCAAACACATTAATGTCAAAAATGGGGTTCAGAAAATGAATAAGATAAAAAAAAGTTGTTCATCTATTCATATCAAACGTTTGACTCTGTCCAATTTCTGTATCTGCAACGACGTCTTGTTTCTGTCCACTGGTATCTTCTCTTATGCATGCCGGCACGGTTGTCTCTTTATCGCTGTCTGGCTTGACCCCTGACCTGAGGTCATTGTCCTTGACCCTGGAGAGGTCTTCGATTATAGTTCTCTTGGGCCTGCTCGATGTGTTATTCGGCAACTTGATGTTTGCTGCGGTAACTTCACCGCACGAAGGAAGGGCCTCATCCGATGAACCATCTTGTCTTTCACTGTCATAATCATCATTATCGTCATCATCAGAAGAAGAGTTGTCATCCTCGGCAAAAACAGCCAAATTCTGAATGAAAATAGCACAGAAAAATTTTCGGCAAAATCTAAATAATAACACTATCATTCTGCAAGAATTTTTTTTAGGCCTTAGTTATCCAAACTTGCCAGAAACCGCAATTTGAGATCTTTAAAGTCATTCATTCAATCTTTTTTTGCATGATCTATACCATGACTACAACACCACATAGCAACGCCTTTTAACAAGATCCATCCAAAAGCAAAAGGGTTTTTGCTCATTGGCCCACTGTCATGTACTGAAACAACAACGAATCACAAAAAGAAGAACATTTTTGACAGCAACATATTCAAAAATTCTGGTAAATTGTTGCGCTGAAATAGCTGTAACAGTGAGCTTTCTGCCCGAAATGATGTCACACTTTTGCTCATGAATATGGAAATTTTCATTAGCATACAAACCAAAAGGAACCAAAATGCCCTTAAAATTGGCAAAATGTTAATTGAAAACGAGGTTAAATCGGACACAACGGTGCATTTTTCAAGGACTGCATTAAAAATTACATTACATTACATGGGCCGTTTAAAAACTTCATATCTAGAACACGGTGGTATTTTTTTGCCTTCGATGTCTCATTCAAAAGTTGCTTGAAAAAAGAAGACGACAAAAACAAGATAATAAGATAAAACTCAAAAAGAGCTATGGAAAGCAACTCTAACCACCCAAATACCCCTACCCCTAAGTCTCTACTGTCTTACCATCTCAATGACTTCATTTTCGCAGTCCGTGATGTTCTCAATGTCTAGATCCTCGGGTGCGGCAGTCTTCAGTCGCTCCTCCAGTTGGCTGTTTGCCTCTTGCATCTTGGGCAGGAAGGATTTCACCTGGCCCAAGACTGTGACATGGATAGCGTTCAGGGGAAAAGTAACAAACAAAAATTCAGAGTAGTAATGTCTCAATTTGACATTAGCAATTTGACATTAGCAATTTGTTGTGGCTTGAATTGACTTGAGACACGGCAGCAAATGACTCAAGCCTCTTAGCAAAAACTCTGCATGATTGGATTCAAAGGCTTATCACCATTTATGATCTTGAAAACACAGGGGAAAAAAACACTGACTACTTACAAGTAAATTACAACTCTCACTTTGTAATACTTAATAGTATAGTATCAAAGTGTCACTGACTCGATGGTAAGACATCAGAGACTCTCGGACTTGGACTTCACAGACGATATTGCCCTGTTGTCTAACCAGATCATTGAGGCACAGGAGTTACTCGGCAGAGTCAGAGTGCGAGAAGATGGGACTCCATCTCAATTCTCAATGCCAAAACAAGAGAGTACCGGAATATGGTGTATAACATCGAGACCATGCCCCGCTCAAGACCAACGGAGAAGCCTCACTCAAGAAGGTGGACAGCTTCAAATACCTAGGCTCCAAGATGTAGAGCACAGAGAAAGACATCCAGGTCCGGAAGGCGCTTCCCTGGAAAGCCCTCCACGGCATAAAGGGGATCTGGACATCTGGGCTCTCTAAGGGCCTCAAACTCAGATTATTTTGTGCTGCAATCAAAACCATCCTGCTGTATGGGTGAGAGTCCTGGACCCTCACTGAGGCAATGATCAAGTCTCTCGACAGCTGCTACACCAGGATGCTACGGTTGGCTCAGAATGTCTAATGGAGGAATCACATCACCAATGTGGAGCTCTCTGGCACCATATCCCTTCTGAGCGAGAAAGTCAGGGTGCGGCAGCTCAGCTTCACTGGGCACTGCCTCCGGCACCCAGAGCTGCTGGCCAATAAGGTTATCAGAATTGGGAGCCACCTCACTGTAGACCATGCTCAGGTCACTGATCGAGGACGCAGGAGTGGAGAACAGTCAGGAGCAGCTAGTCAGCTGGATGCAGGACAGAGTTTTGTAGCGTGTCAGACATCGAGCCCGACTCAAGCCTGCTACAACACGACTACTTTAATCGACAGATAGATAGATAGATAGATAGACTGACTCGAATTGACTCAAGGATCTGACTTGACTCTAGCACACTTTTTGACTTGACACAACTCAACTCAACCTTTTTTATCTAATGACACAACTCATGTGCCTTGGAATGAATTTAAAGCCACCCTAAAACTAACATCAAGAAATGTTTTCGACACAAATGCTACATTACAAATCTTAGCACAACATTCTGTGATATATTCCAATTGCAAATCAAAAGTTTCCAATGTTCGATTCTGACTTCGTTCAGAATTTACGACTTTGTCCAGGTTATGAAAAGGGAAGGGGGACAGCAGGTCTTATTGACCCTCCTATGGAAACATGCATTGTCAGCCTTGTTATTACTTGGGTCAATAGTGGTCAAGACCCACATTGGTTTGTACACAATGTGCCAGGAGGTGAGGAAGAAAATTTTGACCATTGGTGACCTCTTAAATAGTAGGAGGGTTAAATAACATTCAAGAATGTAGTATAAACGGCATTAGTTTAATTTTCTCATGTTTTCTTTTAAATTTGGCTGTAGTATAAAGTATAACATACCGGAAGATGGTGGCATTCTGTATGGCTTCTTCTTTCTGATCAGAAGTGGATCATCTATTTTACAAGAAATGATACAAACGCAAATACTAAATCACATTCTCCACAATTGCCATTATTACTATATAGGTAGAGATTCAATTATAGAGATCGGACAGAACACATCGTTTGTAGTATGCCTGGGAAATCTGATGTATTTGTTAGAAACCTCACATCAAATTTTTGAAAATTACCTCAATCAACATCCAAGAATGTGTCTATGAGTGCGTTCGATTACTTCCTCCTGCTTACTCGCGCCTGGCTCCTCACGTGATGACAGATATGCGCAGTGGAGCTAAATAAATGAACGATTTCGGGCAAAGTTTTTGTGCAAAGACCTGGGCCCAATTTCACGGCGCTGCTTAACAGTTAGCAGAAAAGTTGTGTTTAGCATAGCAGAAAAATTTGCTAACCTTAAGCACTATTTCACGGCGTGTGTGTGCTAACGGTCGCGCGTGCATGGAGATTTCTATTGTTACGTCACTAAGCTAAGCAAATTTTTCCTCTGAAGTAGGAGTGCCTTTTGCTGTGCTTGTGCTTACGGTCTCCATGAAATAGATGGAGGCTCTGTTAGCAGAAAATCGTGTGCTTAGCAGCGCCGTGAAATTGGGCCCTGGAAAGTTGAACTTTGACATGACACAAGCATGCATCCGAATCTACTGTCTAGAGCTAGGTCTAGGTCCATGCCCATTGAAAATACGGGGGGACGCGCTGACAATAGACGTAGCCGTAGCTATGGAAGCCTGTTTCAGAAAAAAATGTTGCAACCTGACGCCACTTCAGCAGTTTGAGTACAAAGTCTATGGAGAGTCTGTATATAAGCTTCTGTACAAACGCCTGGTGTGGCTAGGATAACTGTATGAGGATAACTGCTAGAAACACCAGGGCAAACCCCTTCTCTTAGCAATAAGTGTTTGCTGAGTTCTTTTACGTGCATTTATACAACACACGGGACCTACAGTTTTACATGTACGTCCCATCCGAAGGACGCAGCAATAATGGTTAATTGCCTTGCTCAAGGGCATGAGTGTCTGGGCCCGTAACATGATTTTCCTACGCAGTTCACGGTTGGTGCCGTGCGAGTCAGCACACTGTGAGCATTCACGGTACATCGCGTTGTGATCCCCATCTTTATTTTCGTGTTGCGTTTTGTCGTTGTCATCGTCAGTTTACTCCCAAATTTCCCTCAAAATTTTTTTTAAAAATCTGCTTTCTATCTATGAATGACATACCTGCATCGTCTTAATGTCGGCAACTATTTGTGTAGGTCAAATAATTTTTAAAAAAGATTTTGTTCCCTTATAAAGGTCAAGGAACCGGGCCCATAAATACACGATCGCCACTACTGCCGCTACTCCTAGAACTATGAGGCTCCACGTAGTGGAGCCTCATAGGTTCAGAACCCCGCAAAATTGTTATCAGCACAAAACACTAATTAAGTACAAAAACGTCCATCCCAACCAAGCTTTTTCCCAACGCGGTAACGCGGTATCTTTGAATGATTTATCTCTGAATTCCGGATTTCTGTGATAAATTATCACGGTAACGCGGTATCGTTGAATGATTTATCTTTGAAATCCGGATTTCTGTGATAAATTATCACAGTAACGCGGTATCAAGGAATAGGTATCTCTGATTTCTGGATTTCTGTGATAAATTATCACAGTAACGCGGTATCGCGGAAGGAATTATCTTTGAATTCCAGATTTCTGTGATAAATTATCGCAGTAACGCGGTATCGAGGAATACGTATCTTTGAATTCTGGATTTCTGTGATAAATTATCGCAGTAACGCGGTATCGTTGAATGATTTATCTTTGAATTCCGGATTTCTGTGATAAATTATCGCAGTAACGCGGTATCGAGGAATACGTATCTTTGAATTCTTGATTTCTGTGATAAATTATCACAGTAACGCGGTATCGAGGAAAAGGTATCTCTGATTTCTGGATTTCTGTGATAAATTATAACAGTAACGTGGTATCGCGGAAGGAATTATCTTTGAATTCCGGATTTCTGTGATAAATTATAACAGTAACATGGTATCGAGGAATGCGTATCTTTGAATTCTGGATTTCTGTGATAAATTATCGCAGTAACGCGGTATCGTTGAATGATTTATCTTTGATTTCTGGATTTCTGTGATAAATTATCGCAGTGACGCGGTATCGCAGAAGGAATTATCTTTGATTTCCGGATTTCTGCGATAAATTATCCCAGTAACGCGGTATCGCGGAAGGATTTATCTTTGAATTCCTGATTTCTGCGATAAATTATCGCGGTAACGCGGTATCGCGGAAGGCAATTCAAGCTTCCGTACTCCGATCATTCTGCGCGCGTGCACGTTTCAAGTGTCAGGTTGGCTCAGTGCGGAAAGGGCATATTTTTCATCATTTTTGCCGAAAAACCGACAGAATCCACCGATGTTTGTTCGGTGCACATAACGTGAGTATGTAATGAGGTATTGTACGGAGTTTAGGGGCAAACTGTGCAGCGGTTCTGTGGGAAAAAGCTTGGTTGGGATGGACGTTTTTGTACTTAATTAGTGTTTTGTGCTGACAACAATTTTGCGGGGTTCTGAACCTATGAGGCTCCACTACGTGGAGGAGAATACTGCTGTTACGCCCCAACTATCGCATCGGTCCCAACTATAGTTGGGACTGTCCCAACTATAGTGCGGCAGTTGGGTCGGCCCAACTATAGTTAGGACTGGAGTTGTGCCGGATGCTTCATGCTTGATAGATCTTGTTGGATTAAATGTTCCGCGGCGCTGGGACCGTGTATTCGTCGTGCATGCATGCCGCAAGGCTGGCCGGTCACTTGGTACTGCCTAGTTGGATGAGTTGTCCAGCTGCTGGGTTTTATTGTCCAGCAACATTTTGCAAAATTCAAAGATCTCCATGGCCGGCCAACTATAGATGGGCCCCACCCATAGCTAATGTCAAAGGTCCCAAGTAAAGTCGGACATGTAACAGAGCTGTAGGGAATGTTTTATAGTCGTACATCAATGTAAACTATAGTTGGGACCGCCAAATAAAAATATTGTGGTGGCCCAACTACAGATGGTCCCCACCCATAGATAATTTCATTGGTCCCAAGTAAAGTCAGATGTGTATCAGAGTTGTAGGGAATGTTTTATAATCGTACAACAATGTACACTATAGTTGGGACTGCAATATAAAAAGATTGGGGTGGCCCAACTATAGATTCGCCCCATCAATTGCTAATTTCAGTGGTCCCCAGTAAAGTCAGACGTGTGTCAGAGCTGTAGGGAACGTTTTATAGTTGTACATCAATGTAAACTATAGTTGGGACACCGCAAAATAAAAAGATCGGAGTGGCCCAAATATAGATGGGCCAGCCAAACAGTGGAACTTACAGTTGGGACCGTCCCAACTATAGTTGGGACAGGCCCAACTATAGTTGGGCCAGCCCAACTGTGGAACTACAGTTGGGACAGGCCCAACTATAGTTGGGACCGATGCGATAGTTGGGGCGTAACACTGCCGCCTTGTCAATGCTTGTCATGCTTGTCATGCTTGTGTATACATGTCACACGATGTTTGCTGCTTGCACATGTACATGAACCGTGTTTTCACTCAGATCCAGACAGTCACTGATCATTTAAGTTCAGTGCATGTCGTGCCGGTACAATACCGAAAACAATCAGGGACCGGTTCACGGTAAAATATCCACTGCCTTAAATTAAAAAAAGTTCAACAACACATTAAAATTGAAGAAAACTTCATTTCAATGTTTAATCAATATTATTAAGCACTAAAAATATAACAATTAACAAACCATGTCCAGCTTTTCCAACATCAAGAAGATCTTTAGAATGCGTTTGTTGGATCTCCGACATTTCGCAGCGTGGTCAGTATAGTGCATGTGTTGTGTGCACGTGTGAATGAGGATTGTTTTGATAAAAGTTTCTAAACCGTACGTACACAAAAGATATTAGTTTGATGAGCTATAGAGGGCGCGCTTCCATAAACTTGTTGCACGCTTTCAAAGATCGTATCCGGTTTGTAAGTGTGACGTCATCTCAACTTAGCCATACAGTACACTAGTGTAGCATGGCACCAATGGAACCGGAAGTTAACGCAACTTGAGTGTTTATCCAATGGGCGCTCGTTAATCAGTGGTGCGTGCGCGTGTATGACGAAGTCACTTACGAACCGGATAGGACAGTCCGCTCAAAAAAGTGAAACAGACTTAAAAAAAAACACCCGGTCATGATGGGTAGGGCGCCACAGCTACGCCATTTGCCCGCCAGCATACTTTGAGATGGGATTACAGTGTGCTGACGACATCACTTGGGCAAGTAAACACGTCTAAGACAGAGAAACACCTCATCAGTAGAAACGGAAGCAATACCAGTTGGAAGAAATGCAAATACTTGGGATCTTTTCTCGACACTGAGCAAGATATTACCAGGAGGAAAATACTTTCCATGTATCTTTCAACAAATTCAGGAATGTCTTCAACAGTGATGCAATCTCAAACAACACGAAACTCAAAACATTCCGCGCCTTCATAGCATCTGTATTCCTATACAACAGCGAACTATGGACATTGACTAAGTCACTAGAAGAGAACATTGATGCATTTCACAGAAGACTCTTGCGTTCAATCCTTAATATAAAATGGCCCAAGAAGATCACCAATAAAGAACTGTACAGGAGAACCAACGAGATCCCTTGGAGTGCTGCCATTACCCGAAGACGTCTTAGGTGGACAGGCCATCTCCTGAGACTACCCGAGGAAATTCCTGCCAAGCAAGCACTTTTAGGCAATCCGCAAGAACAAGCTACCAAGAGGGGGACAACGAACCACGTGGCTGAAGAGAGTAAACAGGGACCTGACAACCACGGGGGTCAACATCAAGGATCGATGCACGTGGCACGTGGCATCAGACTAGAACAGTCACGGTGGAGAACACTTACTGGCAGAGTGCGCGATATGTCAGATCAACTTGACGCAAGCGCCTAGATGAGATGGTAGGGCGCCCCTAGCAGTAGATAGGTAACAAGTGCGAGAGTGCACAATAAGGCTGGCCAAGTTCGGGCAAGGACCATTAGTCGACTAGTGGTTGATGTGTGACGTACCTTACGCCTGCGCACTAATAGCAAAGTGCGAACGTCTCTAGTCGAACGCTGGTCAAAATGTCATTGCAAAACGTCTAGATCCTGGCTCCCTGCTGTACGTTATGAACGCGCGCGGCTATGGTTACCAGCGATGCAACCAGCCCAGTAGGTTGGTTCCAAATAGTCGACTAGCGTAGTCAACCACCGTCCACTAGACCATGGAGCTGTGTTTATAGCTCCATGACTAGACAGAGTTCGGGCAAGCGTTAGTCGACCAATGGTTATAACTCCTTGCGCGAACTTGCCCCTTCGGGCAAGGACAACCTCGTACCCAGGGTGTCGAGCAGTACGCGCCCATCACTACCTGCTCTCTCACCCAGGTATTGGATTATTTGCATGTGCAAGATTTTTGAACACGTATGCAAATGAGGAATAGTCTGGTGCCTGCATGTGCGTTACATTAGCGTTTGTTTTTGTATGCGGTGTCTGGGGTAAAAACAGAGTCAATTCGTAGCAGCGCGAGCATGGCGTGAGTTACGAAAACACGATTTTTATTCAATTAAACTGTTACAATCTTAACGAAACAATATGCAGTATCACATTTCATATTAATATTTACAAATTGGAAAGGAAATGAATTTTTTCGAGAAGGCGTGGACGAATGATCGCGAAAACACGTACTGCACGTTGTAATGATGAGTGAATCATTACTGGACCAAGCCCAGTCTAGTCCTTGCTCTATGGTCTAATGTGGCTTTCGCGATATTCCCGGGTTCGTATTCATGAGCTCCCTACTAAGATAATGGCTATTTAATCAGTTGACGACCATAAATATGTTCGCACATACTAATAAAACAGGTGGGAGTGCAGTGGTTTGTCCTTGATAAACAGTCAGGCTATCCCCAATGTATGTGAGTCTGTTGTCTAGAGCCAGCCTGCCTCCCATCAGAATTTGAGTGACGAGTGATGAGCCAGCTAAGTGCTGGAAAGCTACCTACAGCTTTCGCGCAAGGACCATATGTCGACTAGTGGTTGATTTGTGACGTACCTTACGCCTGCGCACTGATAGCAACGTGCGAACGTCCCTAGTCGAACGCTGGTCAAAATGTCATCGCAAAACTTCTGGATCCTGGCTCTCTGCTAGCGTTGTGAATGCGCGCAGCTATTGGTTACCAGCGAAGCAACCAACCCCAGTAGGCTGGTTCCAAATAGTCGACTAGCGTAGTCAACCATCGTCGACTAGACAGAGTTCGGGCAAGCGTTAGTCGACCAATGGTTAACTATAGTCCTTGCGCGAACTTGGCCTATGAAAGCCACATTAGACTGGGCTTGGTCCAGTAACGAACACCACCAAGTACACGATAAAAATCCATTACTAGCCAATTGCGGTATCGAATCAGGATACAGGAAGAAAGTTTCCTATCCAGGGTTTACTATTGGAAACCGTGTTGGAAATAAAGTAAGCACTGGGGACGAGGTTGGGGCAAGGACCATTAGTCGACTAGTGGTTGATTTGTGACGTACCTTACGCCTGCGCACTGATAGCGACGTGCGAACGTCTCTCGTCAAATGCTTGTCAAAATGTCATCGCAAAACTTCTGGATCCTGGCTCTCCGCTAGCGTTATGAATGCGCACGGCTATTGGTTGCCAGCGAAGCAACCAACCCCAGTAGGCTGGTTCCAATTAGTCGACTAGCGTACGTAGTCAACCACCGTCGACTAGACAGAGTTCGGGCAAACGTTAGTTAACCATTGGTCAACTATAGTCCTTGCGCGAACTTGGCCCTGGTTGCAGACCAGTAAATACATTTCCGTAGACCTCAATGATAAATTCCCCCACTTCAGAAATTCAGGAAATTCTCACAACTCTCCAAGTTGTTCAAGACGTACATCAAATTAAAGCTTATTTCATCATCTTCTTTTTTTTTTTTTTTTGAGGTAATCTGATGACATTTGGGAGAAATTGCCATCCGAAGATTACCCCTTAAAAAAGTCCTGAAGCCCATCGCCATTTTAGAAAACGATGCCTACACTCCATTGCAAAATAGAGCGCTTTTAGGGCCCCAATTTCATACAAATTTCACAAAAATTCAAATTCACGGTCCGATCCTGTGCACGGCTTCCACCATTATTTTTTTTTACAAACCCTCAAATTCATGGTCCACAATAGGCTCAAAGATACGGAAGAATTTGATGGCATGCAAATCGTGATTCTGCCGGCGTCGACATTTTTTTACTGGTCTGCAACCATAAGCTATCAAAAGGATCCCTGCCAGAGCTTTAAAAATGCGACGCCCAAAAATGCGACGCCGATGGCACATATGGAGCACCATACTTTAGATTTATACCTAGATTTATCAATACCACGTGACTATAACATTACTGCACTCCATTGCAAACTTTTCATGAACATATTTCCGAATTATAACAAGCAATTTTTGTTGAGTATTTGATTTATTTTGTTTGCTTTCTTTGAATTTTTTTAATTTGGTGGTTATATTTGTATAGGTTGGGAAACTTAGTGGGTCAATTACTTTCGGGGACAGACATATTAGCAAAATTAACGCGCATTCGCATCGATCATGTCAAAACAAAATCGGTGTTCCGAAAACCATCAGCCAGAGTGTATTTTATGACAGCGGCATTTGGTCAATTAGTCAATTATTTTTGGTCATTTTTCGGGGACAGATAGACAGACACCCACACCGACAGACAGACAGATGGACCGACCGACCACCAAGCGACATGTAGAAACTCCTGCCAGAGCTTAAAAAGCTGATTTTTTTCTTTGGTCAAATCGTGCACGGATATGTTACATTTTAAAGTAGTTTATTCTCTGATTAATAGCATCACTCATAAATTATTTAATTAATTGAATTATTGAATTATTAATAACTTTATTTTTCTTTTTTTAAAGAGTTTATGTATTTCTTAATTGTACATGTCAAGCGCTAGTGATGTAATGTAAAGCGTTTTCAAAACGATATGAATCATTAGTATACCGTCAAAAAATGAAAGGTGACATATAAGCATCCTATCAAGTTATGAGCATTGGGTTATACTTAGAAAGTAATATATTCATACTTAATAATATTTTTAAGAAATGATGCAAAAAGCTTGAAGCTGGTTTCCGTATTTGAACAACTTCAGGCAAGTGGTAAACTTTTGAATCAATCGCCGCTAGAGTCCTCGTTGATTGCATTGCCCGGTTACCCCCGTCTCTGATGTCGATAAGCATTGCTAAATTTAATTGAACTATTTTCACTGACAGGCCTACATTAATCCCCCTTTTTATT